TGAGACTACGTCACTGCACTCCAGCCTGGGACTCCATCTCAAAAAAAAAAAAAAAAATTATCCTGCCTTTCCTACATGAATTATACCATTGGGTAACCAAATGATAGATGAAGAGAAGTGTCACTTTACTGAACTATTTCAACTAACAAAATAGAAATGTTAGAATTAGAAGACTGGGTGCAGTGTCTCACGCCTGTAATCCCAGCACTTTGGGAGGCCAAGGTGGATGGATCATTTGAGGTCAGGAGTTTGAAACCAGCCTGACCAATATGGTGAAACTCTGTCTCTACTAAAAATACAAAAAAAAAAAAAAAAAAAAAAAATAGCTGGACCTGTGGTCCCAGCTACTTGGGAGGCTGAGGCAGGAAAACTGCTTGAACCTGGGAGGTAGAGGTTGCAGTGAGCTGAGATCATGCCACTGCACTCCAGCCTGGGTGACAGAGTAAGACTCTGTCTTAAAAAAAAAAACCAAATGTTAGAATTAGAATACTACCACTTTGAAAGTCCCAGTAAATTAATGTCTATAAGTATTTAACAGCAATAATTGTTAATATCACAACCAGACATAACGTGCCTCTTAATGAAAGACCACAACACTATATGGTTTGGCCAAAGTGAATAACCCTGATTCTGTTCAGACCTCTGAATCTAGCTGCCGATTTGCAAGAAATAGAAGATTCAGAGAAACACAATGAATTGTATGCTCCTCTGACATAGTTTTAGGGTGGTCATTTTCTAATAATTCATTAAGCTACACATTTTTTTAAGCTGCACATTTTTATGTTACTCTTTGTGTTTTAGTTTATAGTAAAAAACAATAAATGAAATTTCCCACCATGCTTGGTAGAATTGCCTTTTCCTCCTTGGAGTTCTCTGTTTTTGTTCTCTCTCTCTCTCTCTCTCTCTGTGTGTGTGTGTGTGTGTGTGTGTGTGTGTGTGTGTTTATATATCTATCTTTATACAGTTTACCCTTGAACACCATGGGGCTTAGGGACACTGACCCCATGGAGTTGAAATCCACATGCAACTTTTTTTTGAGACAGGATCTTGCTCTGTCGCTCAGAAAACTGAAGCTCAGTGGCATGATCATGGCTCACTGTAGGCTTGACCTCCCAGGCCCAAATAATCCTCCTATGTCAGCTTCCCAGGTAGATGGGACCATAGATAAATACCAGCCTGGCTAATTTGTATTTTTTGTAGGGATAGGGTCCAGCCATGTTGCCCAGGCTGGTCTTGAACTTCTGGACTCAAGCAATCTGTCCTCCTCAGCCTCCCAAAGTGCTGGGATTATAGGCATGAGACACTGCGCCTGGCCACATATAATTTGTGACATGCAAAAAACTTAACTACTAATAGCTTTGATCTGAAGCTTTATTGATGACATAGTCAATTAACACATATTTTGTATGTTACGTGTATTGTATACTGTATAGTAATTAAGCAAGCTAGAGAAAATAAGTTATTAAGAAAATATGAAGGAAGAGAAAATGTATTCACTATTCATTAGGTGGAAGTGGATCACCAGAAACGTCTCCATCCCACTCAACATTGAGTAGGCTGAAGAGGTGGGATTGGTCTTTTTGTTTCAGGGGTGGCAGAGTTGGAAGAAAATCTGTGTATAAGTTGGACCTGCAGAGTTTAAGCCAATGTTGTTTTGGGGTTTTATATGTGTGTATATACACACACACACACATATGTATACACACATGTGTGTGTGCATGTATATTTGGCTATTTATGGTGGTAGTACCATTTGGGACAAACAAGAATGTAACTGAAGAACTTAAAATCTGGGGAATGAGATGTCCATATGGAGGCTTTGAAAAGCTTTGACATATAACTGGAAATTTTGAGGGCTACTCACAATGCAGAGAACTGTGGATGTGCCTGAGTTATGCACATGGTCAGAAAAGACTTGAGAAGGCCTTAAGCTCTCACCTCTGACTGACTTTGAGTCTGCACAAGCAAGAATTTACAGCTAAAGCAGAGATGTAAACTGCCTGCTGAGTGTTAAAGGTTTGCCCCAGTGTACACACAGGGACCCTCAGCAAAGCCTGGGAAACTTACTGATTGTAGATGTTTGAGGAAATCTCTGCAATTCTAAGCTGATGACTAAGCTAACTGAGCAGAGACTTCGATGACCACACATGAAAAAGGTTAGAGACTTTATAGATTTGGTTTAGGAAAGTTACTGAGAAAGAGCAACAACAACAACAACAAACAGAACAAATAACGAGCAATATTAATAAACCCTGGGAAAGGACAGAGTCTGATTTCCATAGCTGTTACATTATATTATTTAAAATTACTATTTTCAACAGGAAATTATGAGAGTCAAGGTAGGGCCCATATACTGGAAAAAAAGCAGTTAATAGAATCAGTCCCTCAGAAAGTCTCAATACTGAAGTTACGAGGCTAAGTTATTGAATCAGCTATATTAAATATTTGAAGAACTAAAGGAAGCTATGTCAAAAGAACCAAAGTATGAAAATGGTATAAAACTTAAGAGAGAATATCAGTAGGAGGTAGGTGGGGCCACCTAGGCAGCGAGCTGCAGTACGACCCTGGCACTCACCCAAGGACCCTGGAAGCTACTGTTACCCCGCCGGGCAGCATGGGCACCATGAGCAGCGTGGGACTGAATTCAAAGAAGGTAGCTGCTCTGATACAGAAACTGAATTCTGACCTCCAGTTCGTACTTGCTCAGAATGTCGGAACCACCACGATCTGCTGGACATCTGAAGCTGGCCACAGTGCAGCGCACGCAGCAGGCATTCCAGGACACCATGCCCCAGGAAGGCAAGCCCGTCACCAAGCAGAAGAGCTCAGGGCGATGTCTTTCCTTGTCTGAATGTAATGAGGCTTCCATTTGTGAAAAAATTAAATATTGGAGGATTTGAGTTTAGTCAATCTTACCTGTTTTTTGGGGACAAGGTTGAATGCTGTTATTTCCTCTCAAATGCTTTTGTGGAGGCAGCCCAGAGAAAAGAGCCTGAGGATGGGAGACTGGTGCAGTGTTTGCTTATGAACCCTGGAAATGATGGTGGCCAATGGGATATACTTGTCAATAGAGTTGCAAAATATGGTGTTATCCTTAATAAATGCTTCCCTGAATCTTATAGAACAGAGGCAACCAGAAGGATGAATGATACTCGAATCACAAGATGAGTTAATTCTGTATACAACTATGGAACCTGGTACACAGTGGAGCCACCATAGGAGCCACACAGGATGCTGTGATGAAGATGTTCCCAGTGGTGTGTTTCTGTTTGGGTGATCCACCAGACATTCACCTGGGAGTATCAAGACAAAGATAAAAATTATCAGAAGATTGGCCCCACAATACCCTTGGAGTTTTACAGGGAACATGTCAAGCCACTCTTCAACATGGAAGATAAGATTTGTTTGGTGAATGACCCTAGGCCCAGCACAAGTACAACAAACTTCACACAGTGGAATACTTAAGCAATATGGTTGGAGGGAGAAAAACTCTATACAACAACCATTGACTTCCTGTAAAAGATGGTTGCTGCCACCATCACAGATGGAGAGGCTGTGTGGTTTGGCTGTGATGTTGGAAAACACTTCAATGGCAAGCTGGGCCTCAGTGACATGAATGTCTAGGACCATGGGTTAGTGTTTGGTGTCTCCTTGAAGAACATGAATAAAGCAGAGAGGCTGACTTTTGGTGACTCACTTATGACCCACGCCATGACCTTCACTGCTGTCTCAGAGATGGATGATCAGGATGGTGCTTTCACGAAGTGGAGTGGAGAATTCATGGGGTGAAGACCATGGCCACAAAGGTTAACCTCTACATGACAGTTGAGTGGTTCTCTGAGTATGTCTATGAGGTGGTGTTGGACAGGAAGCATGTCCCTGAAGAGGTGCTAGCTGTGTTAGAGCAGGAACCCATTGTCCTGCCAGCATGGGACCCCATGGGAACTCTGGCTGAGCGATACTGCCTCCAGCTCTTTCCTCCTCCCATGGAATCTGACGTAGCTGCAAAGGACAGATTCAGGGACTGAAGCCAAAGTTATGTAAGGGACTATGTGTTGCCACAGGACACAGTAAGATTTCCAGTCTTCTCCAGGAACCTCTTCAGGAAATGTGCTTTATGCTGAAACAGAATACTCTTAAAGAAAATAAAAAGGGAAAGATCAGATCATACTGTCTATTCTCCTAATCTCTAACAGCTCAGGATCCCTTATAGCATTTTAACCAGATGTAATTGTTTGTCTTTAACTCTGTCAAAAAGTTTGGTTCTGTGACTGTGTTTTAATAAGAAGAGAAGATGAGTGACTGAGATATATGGAGAGCATGAAGACCTAATGCTCCTTGTTCCTAGAGTAGAGTGGAGGGGAGGGTGGCCTGAAAATTGAGCTCTCGGAACTGCATGCTGCCAGACAGTATCACTGTCTTTCCTCGATGGCAGTCACTGAATTTCATTTTTTCAAGGTAATTTCTTATGCCTCTAATAGCCCAAGAATGGGAGGTTGATCAGCTCTGACATGATTCCTTCCTATTCTGAACTGTTGGGAGCACAGCTCTGCTTGAGTCAGGTTTGAGTAGAGGCTTGGAGACTGTTGGATGAGAACAACCAAAATCTTATCATGGTCTCAGTTATAATCATTAGGGGGAGCTCTAGCCAAATGGTTTAACTTCTGCCTTTGGAACTGGGGATTGGGTGGGCAGAAAAAGGTGATATCCATTCTTTTTGATAACTAGATGGTGCTGAGAAGCTTTTGAATACAAACTTTGCTCAATGAGAAAAGAAAAAGAGAGAGAGAATATCAATAAAGAAATAGAATTTTTGATAATTTCTTTTTAAATAAAAGAACCAAATGGAAATTCTAGAATCAAAAAGTACTGACACAAAAAAATTCACTATAGAGGCTCAAGAGCAGATTTGAAAAAGAATCAGTGAACCTGAAGATAAATTAATTGAGAAAATCTGGCTGAGAAAGAAAGAATAAGATAAAAGGATGAGCAAAAATGGGCTTCCGGGTCAGCTGCTGCCACCGTCGCTGTGCCGCTGCGGCCGGGGGATTGGGCCGGGGACTCCACCGCCGACCGAGGGGAGCGGGCTCCGCTCGGCGCCGCTTTTTGCGACCTGGCCGTCAGCCCCACGTCGCCGGCCTGGAGGGGCGAGGAGGACGAGGGGGCCAAGGCTTCCTCCGGGGACATTGGCCCTCTGGATTATCAAGAGTTTGTAGCTGACATTGAATCCAGGCTGAGGATAGAAGGTGTGGAACTTAAAGAAGAATGGCAAGATGAAGATTTTCCAATACCTTTACCAGAAGATGATAGTACTGAAGCAGATATACTGGCTATAACTGGACCAGAGAACCGGCCTGGTTCCCTAGAAGTCAATGAAAATAAAGTGAGAAAGAAACTAATGCCTCCAGACATTAGCCTGACACTGGATCCTAGCGATGGCTCTGTGTTGTCGGACGATCTGGATGAAAGTGGGGAGATTGAGTTAGATGGCTTAGACACACCCTCTGAGAATGAGTTTGAGTGGGAAGATGATCTTCCAAAACCCAAGACTACTGAAGTAATTAGGAAAGGCTCAATTACTGAATATACAGCAGCAGAGGAAAAAGAAGATGGACGACGCTGGCGTATGTTCAGGATTGGAGAGCAGGACCACAGAGTTGACATGAAAGCGATTGAACCCTATAAAAAAGTTATCAGCCATGGGGGATATTATGGGGATGGATTAAATGCCATTGTTGTGTTTGCTGTCTGTTTCATGCCTGAAAGTAGTCAACCTAACTATAGATACCTGATGGACAATCTCTTTAAATATGTTATTGGCACTTTGGAGCTATTGGTAGCAGAGAACTACATGATAGTTTATTTAAATGGTGCGACAACTCGAAGAAAAATGCCCAGTCTGGGGTGGCTCAGGAAATGTTATCAGCAAATCGATAGAAGGTTACGGAAAAATCTAAAATCCCTAATCATTGTACATCCTTCTTGGTTTATCAGAACACTTCTGGCTGTTACAAGACCATTTATTAGCTCAAAATTCAGTCAAAAAATTAGATACGTCTTTAATTTGGCAGAACTAGCAGAACTTGTCCCCATGGAATACGTTGGCATACCAGAATGCATAAAACAAGTTGATCAAGAGCTTAATGGAAAGCAAGACGAACCGAGAAATGAACAGTAAGTTTGGCGTCTAGTCCAAACAAGACCGAAGAATGTGCTGATGACGCAGTGCTGTTTTTGCATTCATAATGCATTTGTTGGCCCATATTTTTATGTAACCTGTGACAAGATTGACTGACTCTTCTTAATGGACTTTTGTATAATACAAGGGACTGTTCACTGCTGTACTGGTTTGCAAATCTCTTGAATTTAGCTCTTTAATAGCTAACGGTATTATCATTGTATGTTTTATATTGCTGAATAGCAGAGAACCACACTTTATATACAACAGTTTTTGCATTTGTTTATTGAATGACACGTCATCTTCAGTGAAATATATGCATAAAAGGCAAAGGAAAGAAATGATATATATTTTTATGTTTTTAAGCAATATTTTTAAATGTATACCTGTCGTGTGGAAAAAATATGCAGGTAAATAAGACCATGATTTTGTAAAGTACATATTAGAATTTTTGTTTTTGTAGATGGTTAAATACATTTCCTAGGTAACTTGGAAAATTGAGTTTCTCATAAGGCAATGAACAGTTCAATTGATTCTCATGAATACCCAAAGATCATGTACATAATCAAAGTGTATTAGTCCATCCCAAGGTTCTTTTCTCATTTAACGTAATATCGTTTCATAATTCAGCAAGTGCATTGCATACTTTTTTCTTTTTAAAGACAAGCCAAAAAGCCATTTTTAGAACTAGAGGATTTAAGACATTAGGAATGGAGGTTTGTCAATATGTATATATGGGACGTTTTATTTTCTGACCTGAAGTCAGAACTTTATAAAAATCTCAAGTTTGTTCACTAATGTGAAATAAGCTGTGTGTCCAGGGCATTGCTCCCCTGAATGTGTGTGAGTGTTGTGTAGTATTGCAAAGGATATGATGAGTTATTCACTGTCACAACTTTTTCTGTAGAAAACAGGGGCTGCTTTTTAAACCGCTCTCACTGTGGGCACTTTACCAAAATACTTCCATATCAATTATTTGAACTCAGTAGTTGTTTGACCTAATTAGATGTGGTGTTTGTTCAAAATTCTATGAAATCATGTTTGACAATACTGTAAATTAGGTTAATTCTGTAAGTCTTAGAGAGCATCATTATATTGTGCTGTTTTGGATAACACATTTGATACAAGCATTTAAATGGTTTCATTTGGTAAGTACCATTACGTTGACATAAATTGTGTTTGTGCCTCCAGAAAAAAAAAAAAGGATGAGCAAAAATGAACAGAATCTCAGAGATCTATAGGATACCATCAAGCATATCAGTATATATATAATGGTAGTCTCAGAAGAAAGAAAAAGGAGCCAAAAATATGCTTGACAAAATAATGATCAAAAACTCCCCAACGTTGATGAAAAACATTAATCAACACATTAAAGAAGCTCAACAGACTCCAAGTATAGTTGACCCTTGAACAACATGGGTTTGAACTGTTCAGGTCCTTATATGGAACTTTCACCCACCTCTGCCATCCCTGAGTCAACAAGACCAACTCCTCTTTAGCCTATTCAATGTGAAAACAGAGAGGATGAAGTTCTTTCTGATTACCCATTTAATGAATAGTAAACATATTTTTCTTATTATTTTCTTTTCTCTGGCTGACTTAATTGTGAAAATACAGTATATGATACTTAGAACACAAAATATATGTTATTTAGCTGTTTATGTTATCAGTAAGACTTCTGGTCAGTAGTAGACTATTGGTAGTTAAGTTTTTGGGAAGTCAAAAGTTATATGTGGATTTTTTTCCTACCCTCTTCTCACATGTATATATGTGTGAATTTTTGACTAGTGGGGTTAGCACCCCAACCCCCATGTTATTCAAGGTTATGCTGTAGAATAAACTAAAAGAGATCCACACCTATACAAAACATAACCAACTGGAAAACCAAGGGTATGGAGAGTATCTTGAAAGCGGAAAGAGAGAAGCAACTCATCATCTATGAGGTATTCTTGATAAGATTAACAGCCAAATTCTCTCCAGTAACTTTATGAATATAAACTATTATTATGAATATAGACTATCAGACTGATTCTAGCTCTACATAAAAATATTTATGGACCATAACAAAGGGATTTGTTATGGACCACAACAAAAGGATTTATTCCAGGAATATAGGCTCAACATACATTATAATATTTATATAATATTTAATGTATGTAAACATACATTAAAATATTTATGGACCATGACAAAGCAATTTATTCCAGGAATATAGGCTCAACATGCATTATAATATATCATATTAATAGAATAATAGACAAAGCCACACAGTCATGTCACAGGTATGAAAAACACTCGACAAAATCCACACTTTAATGATGAAAAAAACAAACAAGAAACCTGGAATAGAAGGAAACTTCCTCAGCCTGAATAACAGTCTATGAAAACACACTGCTAATATCACTTTGTGGTGAAAGACTTGAAAAATTTCTCCCATCTCAGTCTGTGTTGCTATTAATATAAAGGCATACCTGAGGCTGGGTAATTCATAAAGAAAAGAGGTTCATTTGTCTCATGGTTCTGCAGGCTGCACAAGAAGCATGGCATCTGCATCTGCTTCTACTGAAGGCTCCAGACTGATTCTACTTACGTCAGAAAGTGAAGAGGAGCTGGTATATGCATATCATGTGGTGAGAGAGGAAGCGAGAGAGACTAGAGGAGGTGCCAGGCTCTTTTCAACAACCAGTTCTCATGGGAACTAAGAGTGACTCACTCTTATGAGAATGGCACAGAGCCATTCATGAAGGATCGACCCCCACAATCCAAACACCTCCTACCAGGACCCACCTTCAACACTGGGGATCAAATAGCAACATGAGACTTGGCAGGGCCAAACAAACCATATTTAAACCATAGTACCACCTAAGATCAAGAATAAGACAAGGACATTCACTCTTGCCATTTATATTCGGTGTTGTACCAAGGGCTGCATATCCGTCAGTCAGAATCCTTGTGTCATGGTATCCTTAAGGTGTAACTTTTCCAACTGGAAACCTCTGTGGCCAGTGGTGCCTTTGCCTGAGTTTTGCTCAGGCCTTGTTCCGCCCACTCAGGCTGGCAGGCTGCGCTCAGCTAGTGCTACTGGTCTGGCTCCCACACCTTCAAAGGATGAGCCAGGCATGAAGAGGTGAGGGGTGCATGAGTGAGCAAGTGCAAGGTCTGGCTGCTGCACACAGCTAGGCACATTGGCTGCTCTGGTGAGGTGGGCAGCTTCAGGTGCTGGGTCTGTGCAAGCCTGTGGCTGAATCAGTTGCACTGTGAGTGGCTTCCACTGTGGGCACACACATCTGAACAAGGTGCTAGAGTGGAGATGCTAGAAATCACAGAGCCCCAAAGAGGATGTCACAGCTCTTGCTGGGAGAGCCTGTGGGCCTGTGCTCCCTGAAGGGCCACAGATCTTCTCTGCTTCTCATTGCCTGCAATGTGACGAGTCAGGTGGAGGCAGGTGTTTAAGCCCTTTTTGTGTTATAGCTCTTTCAGTCCCACCACTCAGCAGTTCCCAAGTTCTTGTCCCGTGTCCAGGAAGAATGAGGTATGCAGACCACTGGAGGGTGAGCAAGGCAGAGAGGAACTTTCTTGAGCAAAAGAGTGATGGAACAGCTCTTGGGAGACCCGGAGTTGTTAGCTCCTTTCCACAGGCAGGTCATTCCAATGAGTGCAGCCCTCAGTGGAGAGGAGCCCCAGAGTGGGCAGCTCATTTTCATAGGCAGGTCATCCTGACAAATGTCTAGCTCTCAGTGGAGAGGAGACCCAGAGTGGGTAGCTTCTTTCTGCAGGCAGGTTATTCTGACAAGTGTCCAGCTCTTAGCAGAGAGGACACCTGGAGTGGATAGCTCCTTTCTGCAGCAGGTAGTCCTGATGAGTGTGGCCCTCAGCAGAGAGGAGATCCAGAGTGGGTAGCTTCTATCTGCAGGCAGGTTTTGTCTGGATGAGTGTCTAGCTCTCAGGGGAGAGGAAACCAGGAGTGCGTAGCTGCTTTCCACAGGCAGGTTGTACTGAGTAGTCAAGGAGACCCAAAGTGGGTAGCTCCTTCCTGCAGCTGGTAGTCCCAACATCTGTATGAGTCTGACCAGGTACAGAGTTTTTATGGGCTCAGAAGGGAGGAAGTATGTGCTGATTGGTCCATGGGTGGTCATGTGCAGGCCCAGGAAAAGCACTGTAAGTTCTCACTCCAGGCCACAGACTCCACCCTGAACTGACAGCCCAGTCCCCAGGCTTCATACCATCCCTGGCTTGAAGGTGGGGTTTCACTCGGGACCCACCCCTTTCTGCCCAGGAACCTGTCTGCCTCTTCCCACCATCAACATGTTGTCCATAGCATTCAGGCTCTTCATGCTAAGGGTTGCCTACAGGCCCACAGTGAGCCACCATCAGCACCCCCTTGGTCTTCCTCTCATGTTCTTCAGTTCCCAAAGTCTGGAGGGGTCTGAGACGGCAGGGGCCTGGCATGTCAGCACCATCCTGAGTGCATGCACACCCAGCTGGGTAACAATAGTGCCCAGGCTCTGCCACAACTTTACTCTGCCCTAGAGTGGGGGCCAGGAGCAGAGAGAGGCTAGTCAGTGAGAGCAGACATTTTCAAGCCTGTAGGGACAAGTGGCTTCCTGGGCCCCTGAGACCTCAGAAATGCCAGGGTCCAAAGCTGCAGCTGTGCCTGGGAGCATTGGGTAAGGGGTGACTTGGTAAGGGGTGGGATTCCCACCTGTTCCCAACCCCCGTGGGCTCAACAGACTGTGCAGCCCCAGCTGTGCCTCCCCTGTTGCAGCCAGCATCTTCACAGTGGTCACTCCAGATGGGCTGCTGCTGCCATCATTTGCACCAACCTGTAGGTGACAGTCTTCCTCCATGAAGCCAGGTCATATATTCTAGAAGTTACTGCTCCATCAAATGTTCAAAGAAACAGCACAAGGCTACAAGAATATACACACAAAATCAAAGAAACAGGACACCACCAAAGGAACACAATAATTTTCCAGTAACCAACCCCTGAAAAATGGGTATCTACAAATTGCCTTACAAACCATTAGATATAATTGTTTTTAAAGACGCTCAGCATGCAAGAGGAGAATACAATTTGACATGTCGGATCTCATCTGAAAACAGAGAAAGAATACATGAACCATACAAGAAGTTCAAAAGGAAGGTAGAACTTATAAAAAAAGAACCAAAGAAATTGTGGAACTGAAAAGCCTAATGAATTATATGAAAAATACAATAGAGAACTGCAAAAATAGACTATCAAGCAGAAGAAATAATTTGTGCCC